TAAACCTCAATCCCACCGCGTGCCCTTTTGACCTCTTCGTATAGGCTTCTGAACCTCTTCCGGGCCTCGGGCCTCTTCGGGCTGGGCTTCTGGACCTCTTCCCAGCTTCTTCCGGGCCTGGGGTCTGTTCTGGGCCTTTTCTCTTGAAATCTTCACGAGCTGCAGGTCTGCAGGTGGCACGACGGACTCTGCATCCTCCATGATGGCACCGTCTCGCACTAACTGCTGCTGGAAGCGTGGAAGCAAGAACCCCTGTAAAATCCCTAGTACAACCCTATTAGAACCCTCATTAGACCTCTTATTACAACCCTTATAAGAGCCCCTATTAGAACCCCATTATAACCCTTACTATACCCCCTGTTATACTCCCTATCAGATCCCCTAGTAGAACCTTCATCACCACTGCTGTAAAATATTTGGGATTTTTGAAATCTGATATTTCTTCACCGTAAAACCCCCTCCCCTTTCCCCCTTTCCTTCCCCCTCCTTTTCCCCATCCGCTCTCCCCCTTCTCCTACCCTCGCTTGCCCAAGACCAGCCCGGGAAAAGGTTTTAGTACAGCGTGGATTAAATTAATTGGCAGTAATGCTCAATTCACTCAAACCTTGTTCTGTCAATGCAGTGATTGGTTCTTGCGCCCACTTAGATTGAGTAAATTGGCAGCAATGATGAATGTACTTAAACCCGATTCTACTTATGCATGATTGGCCCTCCTTGTTGCTGCTAAAACCACCACCCTGCGCTGGCGCATCAAGGCGAAGCCTCTAAAATTTAGGGTTTAGGATTTTAGGATTTGGGGTTTAGGGTTTAGGATTTAGGGTTTAGGGTTTAGGATTTTAGGATTTGGGGTTTAAGGCTTAGGGTTTAGGTAATGGTGGGGGTTTGTATAGGGGTATACTACAGGGGTTATGTAGGGGAGAATGGAAAAGAATATGGAAACTACTACTTAGGGTGTAGGGTTTCCGAGCTCGAGGCGCCAATTTAGGGCTGTCACAGGTTTTATTTCGGGCTCACATATATAGAACTTATGTAGGGCTTACTCAGGGTTGATATGCAATATTTTGAGGTTGTATAGGGTCATTTAGGATTTTATCTCAACGTTGGAGAATGAAATGGAGAAGAAATGGACATGACATGGAAACGGATATTGTAGGGTTAAGGCTTGTGGTTTGAGGGCTTGGGTCGGCTATGGGTTTAGGAAAGAAGGACCCCTTGACCCACTAATAGCGGCATAGTAGGAACAGACAAAGATCCAAAAATGACAGCCAGCATCATGCGGGTTTAGGGTTTAAGGTGTGCTGGGTTGTGGGGTTCAGGGTTTGAAGTTTAGGAGGGAGGTTGTCTCAACAGGAGGCTTTGAGGGACCCACGGGAAACATGGGTAATGCTGAAGTTCTGAAGGGTTGCTGTTTAACAAGAAAACCCGGTCAGTTTCGAGACACACCAACCCAATGGGGCCTTCCTGAGAATCCCAGATCCTTGTTGTCACAGAGGGGCCCATCTTGTTATCAGAAAATATCAGAAACCTCCTCTTGATGGGGTTGAGGCCTTGATGAAAACCCCCCTTCTTCTGTGTAGCTTTCTGAAAAGTGATCAGATGCCTAGTGCTAAAAATCATTGCTCCAATTCTGCAACAGATCAGGATGGGTGACGTCCCATTTCGTTGCAGCGCCTTTGGGTATCTGTTTTAGTTCTGTTGCAATAACAGATGTAGGGCCTGCAGATTGTGAGTATCTACCTTCTGTAACTACCGCCAGCACTAATTTTGACTTGTAGTTCCCCCTACATTCCGGAGATGGGTCCCTCGGACTATTGCAGCATTGCCCACGACGTCTTGAAGTTGGATCATTTTTGTACCTAAAATGTTGCGCCTTATGACAAAGACGCGCCACAGGGATCGCCCACACATTGTGCAGAGGCCAAGTTCATGCAGCGACAGCGAAACTACGAGCAAGACCTTCAAGAGGACCGGCAGTGTCTTGCTCTGGTCCCAATGTGCTGTTCATCTGGGATACAGGGCCCGATCAGGGATGCGGAGATGTCACAAGGAGGTTATATTTGCATTGAAGTGCGTATTGGGGTCGTCCTACAGATCGTCGGTGCTTTTGGGTCACGCTCTTCAAGTATTCAGTGACGAGCGAGAATAGAATAGTCTCGGAAACTGCCCGAGTCCAAACCGTGTGGATGAAGCTGCAAGTGGGAATCTTGCCTGTGTACTTCATTATCCAATCCAACATGTTTGGGTTGTATGCTGGGGTCGGATAGCGCACTGCATCCTCAAGGCAGCATGGAAGTGGTGAAGCAGGGTGGCAGCTCCTGATGAATTTGGCCTTGCAAGGCTGAGGAAGAGAATTTGTCAGCAAAGACTGCTATTCGCACGCAGCATCGTGAGCTGGAGAATTGGTACCCAGGCCGCCGCGCTTGCATGCCCGTGATGTGCAGCACATGAAACAATCTCCAAGAGCAACTGTTCCCGATGTTTGCGCCATTTCAGGATTTGCCCACTACCAAGACTCGTTTGTAAAGAACTTGCTCCCTCAGACAGAGCACAGCCAGTGCCTGAGATCTGCGACAGCAAATTCCATGTTTTTTACGCATGTGCTGGCGTGTGAACGACATCTAACTTCAATGCAGAGCCGCATTGCCCACTTTTAGCAGTCTCATTGCTCAGATGGGTCCACCGCAAAGGCAATGTTCAAGGACGGGGCATGCATGTAGAGAATATCACGACGACGTCTAGAAAGGAATGCCTTGACGCAGACAAAAGTTGGTGCAGGAGTCGGCAGTTGCAGAAGACGCCGCCCCTGAAGTGGCGATGGCAGAGGCAACCCTGCATCTTGTAATCCTTAGTTCCCTGAAATCCACGTAGTAGCGGGGTGTCAAATTGTGGCTGTCTTTTTTGGGCCCATGCCATAATACAACCCGCAATGTTTTGGGTACCTCAGACTTTGATCATAAATTTGACAAGCCCCAACATGGGGTTGTTCTCAAACTTACGGTCCCGGTTTGGTAATCGATTATATAACGGCATCTAATATTTAGCTGTTCCAAGATGGAATTTTGGGAACTACCCACGTTCTGCAGGACTTCAAGCGGCTGCTGGCCGCGCTGCCTCCCGACAAGCGCAAGGTCATAGGCGGCATAGCTGAGTTTAGGGTTTAGCAGCTTAGGGTTTAGGGTTTAGGGTTAGGGATTCCCTTTGTTCAACTAGGATTTATGTTTGGGGTATTTGAGCCCTGCGCCACAAATCCTAAAATCCTCTTTGCTAGCTAATCCCTGAACAGACCCTGGGCACTACAACCCCATGCAATCAATCACTATATCCTATAACACCCTTGACCCCGCGAGCCCTTCCAATTTCCAAAGTGAGGGCCTTGTTTATGTAACCTCAAATGTTAGGTGCTCTACAAGCATTTGTATACCTCCCCCAATGGCCCTTTTTTGAAAAGAATCCCCTAAGCCCTCATCTGTAAAACCATGAGCCCTAAACTCAACGTAGTTCATTGAGGCTAGTGAAAGAAGTGAATAATGTATGACGGGCATGCAAGAGATTCTCCGTGATGGTCACGTCGACTAAAGTGGTTTCTGAGGAAAGGGCTGCAAAGACCCCCGGAGCCACATTGCTAGGCGGCTGACGTTGTTTGTCAAACACAATTTGGGCTATTCTTAAAAATAGGGCCCTTTTGGGTTCTGGCTATACTACGGCACCTGATATTTAGAGGTACCAAAAGGAGCCTAATTTGAGAACTACCATTTTTCCTTTGCAGGCAAGGACTTGATGGGCCTGATCGATGGGGACGAAGTCCAGCGGATGCAGCAAGACGATGTGCCGCTTAGCCTCGAGGACAGAAGGGTTTAGGGTTTAGGGTAGGGGGAGGGCCTTTACATGCATCTGGTTACTTGTGGCGGAAACTCACGTAATTGAGATTGAAACGGAACATCAAATGGAAATTCAAATAATAGAACATGAAATGTGCACTAAGGTTTATGTGGTCATATGGGATATCTATGGGAATGGAAAAGAAAATTTAAATTATCATATAATTAGGGATCCTTTATGTTATTCAGGAATAATTAGGGACTACTGTGAGGTTCCACGTCTTCAGTCCTTGCTAACCAGAGGTAAGTTTAGAGACCTTTGGGATATCTGAGGATTATTACAGGCCCGGATTCTCTAACTGGAGACGCTGCATAGGATTTTGGGCTTCAACCCTAAACCCTAAACCCTAAATCCTTTTTTTTGGGTTTGGAGAATATGTAAGGACTTGCAAGGAACTTGCAGGGATCAGGAGGCATTTTGGTGGATTTAGGAATTTTATTGGTTCCCTTCTGAAGTCCTGAGAAAAAAGATTTCTTGATTTTGAGGGCATGTAGTCGAAGAACCCTGATTTTGATTCCCATGCAGCAGATTTGTTGGGACGCAAAGTAGACGTAATGCAGCATCTGCGCTGGCAGGATCAGCAACAAGAGATTGAGGAGATAGAGCGTCTGCAAGGTGAGTTGCAGAAGCAGGAGGCGCGCCAGTGTCACAGAGCTTGTGCCTATACAATCCCAGTGTCCATTTCATGCGCCATGTTCTTTCCATTTGATTCTCCATTATTGTTGTGGCAATATATTCCGATATACCCTTACCCTAGACCACCTCGCTGGTTGATATTTGCCGTCCATTGCTGCACCGGGAGGAACGCATCAAGAAGCTGAAGCTGGAGATTGCCCAGCGACGTGGCTGAAACGAGAGCTGTGGAACCTCAACGGAGGGAGTCTTCATGCTAGCTAGAACTAGTTTCCATTTTCTTTTCCATTATCCCTATATAACCCCAATATATCCCCAATACTATAACCCTATAATCCCTATATAATCCGTATATAATCCCTATATAATCCCTGTAGTTTCCATTTTCTTTTCCATTATCCCCATTTTGATTCAGTGGCTTGATTTTCAGTGCTGCAGCGCTTGCAGGATCGAGACGGAAAACCTTCCCAACGAGCTAGACAACCTGGCCAACGAGCAGGACAAATGCGTTTCAAACGCTGCTATCAACTGCTGCTGTGCTGTGAGTATGGCTCCAGGAATGCGGTCTAACTCTTTCGATTTGGAACATTCTTCTTAGTACTACCTATACCACGATTCAACTAGAGCTTTGTCATCGCTACCCCCGTTCTGCTGTCAAACTCCAGCTAAGTAGCATTTTTCCAAAGACTGTGGCCCCAAACATGGAGTGCCCTTTCTGGCTCGTGGCTCACAGATCCTTCTACTTGTCTCAACCACGAAAACAGCACTATTCGGCTTCTAGTTTCTCAGAACTACCCCTAGAACATCCCTAGCAGAGACCCCCGCCATAATCCCTATGTAGTCTCTCTATATCCCTTGGCTCCCTAAGGGCCCCACCTTTTGAGAAACTCTTCGCCCAACCCTGAACCCCAACAACCTAAACCCTAAACCCTCGAAACCCTAAACCCTAAAAAGCCTAAAACCGATCGGGTCTAACACAGGAACCCCTCGCCCTGCGAGCAGGCATCCAAAAGTCCAAAAAGTTGCAAAAAAAACCAAAACCCCTAAAACCACTAAACCATAAAAACCCTAAACCTTAAACCCTGAACCCTATACCTGGCTAGGACACCGGTCCGTCGTTGCCAGGCCCGTCTCCTGCATTTCACTACGCAGAGTTTCCTGTGTGTTGACTACATGGGGACTAAGGACTTATGCATGTGTATTTATACATATGCACATATACACCTATGTATATATATATATAATGTCATATGTATGCAAAGAGATACATGAAGACGGTTGTAGAGAGCTGATGCAGAGAATTCCAGATAAGGACCATCTTGAGGACATGTGAGAACATGTATAGTCCCCCTTAAGTAGATAGAAGATGGCCTTGGGTATATTATAATCCCCATATACCCCATATTCTATCTACTTAAGGGGGATCTATATGCAGGGTTACAAGCATGGAGCTTGAGGGCCCTAAACCCTCAACCCCTAAACCTTGGGTTTAGGGTTTAGGGGCTAGCAACAGAAACTTGGTCCTTCATGGATCGTCCAGAGGGTCTCTGGGTTCCTGATAGTCCCCAAGTCTTGAAATGTTTCTGCAATGCATGGCCCGGAAGCCTCCATGTTGACACTAGCGCAAATAATCCTTTGAAAGCGCGATGTAATCGCAGCTTCCATTTCATTTTGCATTTTCTCTTCCACGTCATTCTCCTTTTTTGGGGTAGTATCCCCCTATACCTAAAGAAGATGTAAAACCTATATGTATATGTAGATTATATTATATCATATATTATATAATATATACTATATAATATATACTATATAATATATACTATATATATACACACTATAATATATATATATATTATATTATATATGTAGTAGTATATATATATACACACCCATGAATGTTTACCCAGCGCATCCCGAGGTTTTAGTGCGCTGCTCTCAGAGGTCTTTTCCTGTTTGCTTCTTGAGGTTGCCAGCAGCATTCACTTCAGAAACTGCTCTTCCCGGTGCTCCTACTCTCCTCTTCAAAGCTTTACTACTACTACTACTACTACTACTACTTCCACTACTGTCTGTCCCAGATGCCACTCGTATTTCTACTGCCGCTGCTGCTGTTGCTAGTAGTGTAACCTACATTTCACTACTGCTAGTGTAGCTGCTTCTGCTGCTGCTACTGCTACTACTGCTACTACTACTGCTGCGGCTACTTCTGCTGTTACCTCTGCTGTTACCTCTGCTGCCGCCATTGATACTACTGCCATTACGACGGCTGCCGCTGACAGTTCACAACGTCGAGAAGCCTAGTGCTGCTAAGGGGGAAGCTCCAACTGATCGGGCAGAGAGCAACGAGAGCAGCAACACAGATTAAGCTTGAAAAACAGAAAAGCTCTGCTCATGCCATTCACGCGCAACATTCCGATGCGAAGATTTCTTGGGCTTTCTTGACTATGAATATCCTGCAAAGCAGATCTAGCTCCACTGCCCCACTGACCAAGACCTTTGAGCGTTAGCGGTCGTCATAGGATGGCTTGGATTTTTTTTTGATAGCGGAGAGCTTCCATATCCTAGCTGGAGTTGCATTTCTCGGGGTTACTTGAGATTTGATACAATAATTCAGGGCCTGGCGGCAGGTGCCGGCCTGGCCGCTGCCCCGCTTGCCTACCCAGCTATCAAGTGAAAGCCAAGCCAACCCCAGCCCTGCTGACACTCCTGATTGACAGAAGTGCACGGAAAAAATTATGTCCTTGTTGCCTTGTTTTCTTTTAGGTGTTGAAAACCCTGTTCTCTCTAGTTTAACTGAAAGCGGCCAAAAGTGGGTCCCAATTGTGCTGATGATGTTCCTGTACGAGGCGTGCGCGCGCGCCTCGTACAGGAACATCAGCTGCACAATTGGGACCCCATTTTGGCTTGATTGGGGCCAGGAGGGGTGAAAAACCCAAGGAAAGCCATCAAAGATGACTGTAGACATGGCTCTTTGTGCAGGCTGACCATGTTCTAGCCCACAATTGAATTTCACTGGTATTTACAGCCACAAACACTGCCCACAGCGTGCATTTTGAGCGTTATGTTGGGGTTTATAGCGCATTTCAAGCGCCCTGCAGCCCCCCAAGAGCCAGCATCATGAGCATCATGGGGCCTGTTTGGGCCCCCAATTTCCCTCTTGACAC